ACAAACTCCGACCTCAACTATGACAGGTCTTGATTTAGGTAGAGTTCCTCAGCCCTCTCCATCATTTCGGCATAAGCATAATTTCTCCAGTAGATGCTGAAGCCCTTGTATTTCTCAGTGTTGTGGAAGTTGGCAATGTAGTCTTTGACTGCCTCTTTCCTCACCACATTGGCCTCCTCCCTTGCCTTGTCCAATTCATCCACATGCCACTTTATTTGGCCCTTTAAGAACTTGTAGGTGTCTTGGGCCCTAGTCAGCTCCAGATTGGCCTTCTCCAAGGCCTCAGCAGTCACCTTTTGGTGGTCATTGGAGATCTCCACTTTCTTGGTAAGGGAAGCCACATTGCACTGGGACTCATAGACCTCCTTCTTTAAGACCTTGATCTGAGCCAAAGCAGACTCCAGCTTGGCCGTGTCTTCAATTTTTTGGACCCTCGCTTCCTCTGCCTTGGCCCTGGCCTTCTTCAATTCCTGTGCGAGGGAGGTCACCTTTTTCTCCGAGGATTGGGTCCTCGTCTGAAAATCAGTAAGGGCCTCCCTGCACTCCAATACGAGGCCAAAGGTCTTCACACTTTGGCTCACAAAGGCCCTTGTCAAGTCCACCACGTCATAGGAAGAGGCGTGCAACTACCATCGATCCGTCCAGAATTTGTAGAAGCTCTTAGTAGTGCTTCGGATCTTGGCTGGCAGAGTCTCCACCAATGCCGGGGCCAGGATTTCCTCCCTCTCGGTAAGGAAGTTTGGAGATTTCCCTTGCACTCTTGCAGGCCTCTGCTTGGCAGCTTCATCCTCTACCTTCTCAACCACCCTCCTCGCAGCCCCTTCCTCAGCCTCAGTGCGCCGCACCATTTCAATGTTCACCGATTTTGAGACGGCCTCCAGGAGCTTCGGTTGAGGGGCTTCTTTTCCTTTATGGGGCACAGAGGTCCCGAACTTCCCAAATGAGCTGGTGATGTTCACCAGCTTCCTCTTCTTCTGCTCCTCGGGGACCTTCTCCTTTTCCCGAGGCTCTTTGGCCTTCAAGCACCCCTGAAACTGCTATCTTTGGAGAGGTGCTCCACCCTCCCCCGGACCTCCTTGGCACCACTTAACCCCGGCTTCAGGGGCCTCGCTGTCACATTGGATGTGGCCCTAAGGATAGAGGCCATTTCTGGGGCTGGGTACTCCCTCCTCTTGAATTTGTCTGCAAACCATGTCAGTACATCAACATCGAAACAAAAAGCAATAAATACACAAGTATACAAGCCTCTTACCTTTGGACACCATCAATTCAAAGTCAATGAAGTAGCGGCTTTGGTCGATGAGGTGGACAAAGTGCCAAAGTTTCAGAGGTCTCTTGTAAATGTCTTCTATCACTTCAAACTCCTCCTTGCTCAACTCGAACCTCGTACTACTATCTGCACAGCAAGCCTCGATAGTTAGAAAAAGAAAATTTTGAATACGAAATGTAAACTACTTAGGCTGGGAGACTCACGAGCTTCGTAGTACGTAGTATTGGGTCGGTACTGTGCAAGTCAAGGTTGTGTCCCCCTCCACTACCTGCCACCTGCCCCTCACCCAGAACTATGATTCCTTCCACCCTTTGATGGAAGAAAGCAGCCCCACCACAAATGGTGCGTGAGCCCCCCAAGGAGTTAAGTAATACCACCCCCTTGACTCCTTACCTATCACCCTAGGCTGGAATAGGGTCATGAAGACGTGGAGAGGCATGTCCTTCCCAAGTGACACTTCCTTTCACAGGAAGAACGAGCCAACCAACTGGCTCTACCCATTCGGCAGAACCTGGGTCAGCGACAACATAAAGTTTCTCAGCACCGCCCTAAAGAAGGGGTGCAAAGGAAACACATACATGCCTTAAACATGTATTCATTCACCGCCATGCATCTGGGCCTCGGATAGCAGGCGCGCTCATGAGCCTCGGGCACCAACATTTCCACATAATGAGGTACACAGTACCTCTTACTGATCTCCCCCAGCCTCTTCAAGGTCATATTTGAAGGCACTCTGGACGCCCCTCACTCCTCACTGTAATCTACTAGCTCCTCGATGATAACATATTGCTCGACCTCGGGGACCCCTCTGTGACTCACCCCCTCGCCAAATGACGCAACAGTTACTAATTCCCTACTCGAGGTGGACTTCATATCAGAAAAGGATGAACTCAATACAAGGGAGTTTCTGTGAAAATACCTATGGAAAATGACTACGCGAACGGAGTAACACCGGAAAACGAGAAGATCGACTGTTTGGACTCCGAAAAACTTGAGCTGTTGAAGAAGAAATCAAATTGCAAAGGTTGAAAATCCAGAAAAATGAGGGTCTCTCGCCTTTTATAAAGGGTCAGGACGAACCCCAACCGTCTGAGCAAAGCTCATTGAATCTGGACCCTTCATTCTAAATTAAATCCAAGGCGTAGAATTCAAACGATTTTTCAAACCTACGCTTCAGATTCAAGCATGTCCTCCACGCACCTCCCCAAACACGTCTGCTTCTAGAAGCTCCAGCTGTGCTCATAATTACGACTCAAATTCGACGACAGCAGACGCCTAGGAAGTTGAATGGTCCAGCCACATTTCCTCGAAAATATGCGTAAAACATCAAATCATTGACACAGCTATTAAGGAACAATCATTACCAATGAGCCTCATAATTCAACCTCCACAAGCTTCGCAGGTTCGATTTCCCAACCACCTCGGCTTCCTCATCAGAATTTATTGCAGGTTCGATTTCTCAACCACCTCGGCCTCCTCATCAGAATTCAGCCTCCACAAGCCTCGCAGGTTCAATTTCTCAACCACCTCGACTTCCTCATCAGAATTCGGCCTCCACAAGCCTCGCAGGTTCGGTTTCTCAAACCACCTCGACTTCATCATTCTTCCACAACAACACATTTCTAACTCCAACCATGATATAAATATCTATACTTGGACTTAAGGGACTGTTATTTGGGGTACAAAAATTTCAAAAATTTTGGGTATAAAAATTTCAAAAATTTCTTTCAACTTAACTGGCTGGCTTTACTTCATCAAAGTTCTCGCATTACATAAATGACTATACTTGGATTTAGGGGACTATTATTATGTGTTTGCACACTTGGGCAACCCACCGGGGCCCACAGCCAACTTATGTCGAACCACGTGGCACTCAAGCTGAGGTGATTTGCATAGCCTAGGCCCACAAATCGAGGTCCATAGAAGCCTAGGCCCATATATGTCGAGACCCATCTATCATTGCCTCTTGAGGAGCTTCTGAAGCCCATATGCCGAGGCCCTTTGAAGGTGGACGAGGCCCTATTAGCCGAAACTCTGTAGCCGAGGTAGCAGCCTCCGAATCACAAAACATCTTCCATAGACACTTCTCCTAAGAGATCATCTGCACAAAGATCTTACTTGAATGATTGATAGGACGTTTGTCATGAGTGTAAATGTTAAGTCTTGTCACTAGTAGAGGCGGCTCTGCCAATCAATAAATGTATAGCAGGTTAGGTGCGGCTTATGCCTACAATTTGACATGTAAATTAACCGGATGAGGCCACATGTACCCCGAACCAAAGGTCACTATCTAACTTGTGACACTATAAATACTCCCCCATGTACCCCATACAAAGACTAATGCAAGAATCAATACAAAAAATCGTACTTTACTTAACTCTCTTTTTCTTATTATCTTGCAACACAAACGAGTTTATACATATTTAGATACACATTTACAAACATCGATTGATAATTATTGTACAATCGGTCTAAGAACATCCCGCCGAATTCCGAACTTTCTCATCCCGTGCCGTTGAGCTACTCCCATACCCTTGATCTGCTCATTTTAGACCGTCCACGTGTCTTAGCGTGTTGGACTTTCGCTCATGTGTGCGTGGGTGGGTTCTGCATCTGTTGGCAATATTTTTTGGGGTCAACAGAATCCATCAAGATAACTTTTTCTCTGCCCATTTTGGGAATTGTTGGAAAGCCCCACCCAACATCTATTTTGCTCGCATGACTAACCATGTCGAGAATTGGAATGCCTTTCCATTGAAGAGCCAACAGTAACGCATCCATTGGACATAAAAATGTGTGTTTGTAAGCTTAGAAACTTTTCTAAGAATGATGATATATTCTTACATGCGATGAGAACATAGTAATCAAAAAAAGATTGGGAACCAAAGTGCAAATAAAATTAAAGATTGGGACATTTATTGCTATTTGCCCTTTCTATAGAAAGTGAACAAGTTGTTGGAAAAATTTAGCTTCTCTCTCAATCTCCCTTGCCTATGCATACATTTTCTTGTACTAGTCAAAGTTGAACGTGCCTTGCATGTTATTCTAAAATATTTTATAAATGATGTAAAAGTAATAATTGGTATCAATTTGTTAGAGGATTTGATGAGTTTTGGATGAATTGAAGAAAATAAAATCTAGCCTAGAAATTTAAGAGAATAAAATTGTACTCTCAAAACTCAATTTTTATGATTCAAATTTTTTTGTAATGATGAAATACTATAAATAAACAATATTTTATATTACATTTGAGACAAAAAAAATTAATTGTTAATACATAAATTTAATAACCCATTAAAATTTTTAGATACATGAATATGAATAAATTCATCTATAATAGCTCTAAATTCATGTAATTTAAGATTTATCAAATGAAAATTCATTGAATTTAGGTTAACATGAATGTTAATTAATTGAGAATTAATAACACAAATTTCATAAATGATAATAATTATGTAGTATTTATTACATATCGAAAAACGAAAAATAAGGTTTATCAAAATAATTGAATTGTAGAGATGTTAAAATCGTCCAAAAAAAATGATTCTCCCTTAATGTGATATTTAGCTCCAACAACATCTATTTTACTCACATGACTAATCATGTCGAGAATTGAAATGTCTTTCCATTGAAGAGCTAACAGTAACGCATCCATAGGACATAAAAAGGTGTGCTTGTAAGCTTAGAAACTTTACTAAGCGTGACGCTATGTTCTTCCATGCGATATTGGTAACCAAAGTGCAAACAAAATTAAAGATTGGGACATTTGTTGCTATTTGCTCTTTCTATTGAAATCGAACAATTTGTTGGAAAATTTTAGCTTCTCTCTCAACCTTCCCTGCCTATGCATACATTTTCTTGTATATGTATACCCAGATCCACATAGGAGCAGCTTTCCCTAGTACTAATATTGTATTTGCAAGTACTACCAGAATCTCGAAATCCCCGAAAATGGCGACGTCCTATTCGGCATACCAAAAACTCCTTAGCGTCGGAACTAAAATCGTCGCCGTTGGCCGCAACTACGCCGCCCACGCCAAAGAACTCGGCAACGCCGTCCCCAAAGTATCTACTTGTACATATATACGACAATTTTTTTTTAATTAATGTTTTTTAATTTGTCATATGAAAAAATGTTTTATTAATTTTTTTTTATTTTTTATTTTTTGGTTTGATTTGTTTGAAGGAGCCGGTGTTGTTTATGAAGCCAACGACATCGTATTTGGAGAACGGAGGCAAAATTGAGGTGCCCGAGCCACTGGAGGCACTGGATCACGAGGTGGAGCTGGCAGTAGTCATTGGTCGACGGGCTCGTGACGTGCCGGAAGCCACCGCCATGGACTATATTGGAGGTATAATAATTTTTATCTGTTATTACAATTTCGACCAATATGTGTAAAAGTCTGTTAATGTTGTTGGACCTCTAAACTTCATAGGAAAAAAAAAAAGGTAGGAGATTTTTATGTTTGGATAAATGTAATTTTAATTAAAATAGTGTTTAAACGTGCCTGCTTAGCTTCTGAATGATTGGTTTTGGATTTTGCTAGGCTGAAGCTGTTGAATTGTTACCTAATGTTTTGGCCAATTTGACTTGCTTGACTATCATCTATGTGTAGAAATTCGAATTCCTGACACTTGCCCAATGAAATTTCTGTTTATCAGGTTTTACTGAGCTTAAAAGTTACTTTAAACTAACTTTTTGTCAAATGTGAAGCACGTTTGAGGTTTACTAGAATTTTTGTTTTGGTCTTCTGCAATAAATGAAGATGATTAAATTCATAGTATTTTTAATTGCTTTGTAAATGATTCAACTGGATGCTCTGTGATTTAAAAAGAAGAAAGAACAAGACCCACAAAGTTCAGATTTCATGCTAGGAGATTAATAATACCGTCAATACAAAACAGAACTGAATGGTCTACAATTTTCTGTTCCAGGTTATGCTCTTGCCTTGGATATGACAGCGAGGGAAATCCAATCTACTGCTAAGGTGTAAATATTTTTATGATTCTACAGTTAATCATCGTGTATATGCACTACACGATATCATTGCAATATTTGCAGTTCGGATATAGGTGATCTATATTTTCTTATTTTTTCATACCTGTGCCTCATTGAGTTTACTTTCGTTTAGTTGGGAGTGTCTTTCTTCTCTTCTTTTTCTTCTTATTTTGTCATTATTGCAGGTTTTCACCTTTTCAATTTTTTGCTGAAGTCTGCAGGTCTTCCATGGACTGTAGCAAAAGGCCAAGACACCTTCACTCCAATCAGCTCTGTTGTAAGAATCAGATCAGAATACTCATGTTTACACATTGCCCTTATTTTCATGAGTGCTCATATGCTTAATCGAGTCTAAGGGTTAAAATTGTAACCCTAAGCATTCTGCATACAAGCTGTTCGCGGTTCCTTTTGTGATTAGTGTTCTACACCCCCCACCCCCCAAAAAAAGCCCTGCACTGAAACCCCACCAATTCTACTGCAATATCTAAGCTTTTGTGGGAAAGCAAATAGGACTGAATAATCCATTATTAGATGACACTTACCAAAAGAAAAAAGTACTGTCAAAGATGAAATGATGAATTATCACTAACCTATGTATGGTGGTATTTTGTTTCATTGTTATGTTTTTATCTATCAGTAACTACCTTTCTTCTTGAGTGTTTCATCATTAACTTTCTCAGAGTATCTCTGCAGATACCTACAGCGATGTTGCCAAACCCTCATGACGTAGAGTTGTGGTTGAAGGTACTGTTCATTCCTTATCATTAGTGTGCCTCTTTTGCATGTAAGACTCCATCCAACATCAATTGTGGTAGAATAGTTTTAGTCACTACTTGTCGGTGTCAGTTTAAATATTTAAGGCCAGTTAATTAGTAATAGTGCCCAACTATGTTGGCAGAGCTGAGCATCCAACCAAGTCCTTACAGGGGGTGCAGGCCACTCCTGTCGTTAGGGCCTAAGGGTGTAAAAATGGGACAGGTGGCACTGGCTTGGTCCTTACAGACTATTAACAGCATGGCTCATGCTGAGTGGGGGTTATTCATTAAAAAAACAGCCAACTATATTGGAAATGGACTCTGCATTATTGGAGAACGCGATGGCTGTGTTAATGTATGCAATGCTTATTTTTGAGTCCCAAAAAAAAAAAAAAAAGGACAAACTCGAAACAAATATTAAAGGAAGGGTCTTCGTCTGGCATTGACTGCACCAAAAAAGGGACCCTACACGTGGACATGCTTAAATTCGTTGAATGGGTTATGGAAAGTGAGTAGATGTGATAACTGATGAGGATATAGAAAATTTGAGTGTGAAGTTTGTAAGTCCATCTCATCTCTCTTATGGGAGAATATTGTGACTAGTTCATGTGGACTTTTAAGTGTTTTTTGTCGGTTTGTGACCAACGTTAGGGTATGGCTCAGGTCCTTGCATACCATGTTCACCATATAATGCTGTTCTTTGAATAAATTTTCTTCCTGCAGGTTGATGGAGAAACCCGGCAGAAAGGATCAACAAAAGATATGATATTTAATATTCCATATTTGATTAGCCACATAAGTTCTATCATGACACTTCTTGAGGGAGACGTTATTCTAACAGGTACAAGGACACAGGCGAACTGCTACTTTCTTTTCGCTAATGTTGTTTCTTGGGGGTTTCTTTTAAAAACGTTGATCGGTCCTCTTACTTATTAGTTATTTTATCATTTTGCTAATGCCATAAATCAAGTGCTTGCCGGTGTTATAATGATCTTGATATACTGTGCATGGATTGAATTGCTGAACTTTTTACAGACTTCTTATTTTCTCTCCCACACATTCCGCAGCAATGAAAAAGAAAACGAAAAATCAGAGGAAAAAGGGAATTCTTTTCTAGTCAACACTGGTGTGGTATCCTCTTAAAGGAAGAATACGAGTCATTTTGCTGACTACCAAGAAGCATTATAAATGATCTTATCTTTAACTCTTTCATCCATATACTTTCTACCCCGTTTGCAAGCAATCTTATTCCCGCTTACACCCTGACTAAATTCAGTAGTTCTAAACTGCTCATGGTGCAACATTACTATAGCATAATCTGTTTGTAAAGCAATATTATGTCATTTAACATTTGTTCTCTTATACAGGCACTCCTCAAGGAGTTGGTCCAGTTAAGATCGGTCAAAAAATAGATGCTGGAATCACTGGCCTGTTGGACGTGCAGTTTGATGTTGAAAGACGCCGTAGAGTGAAGCATTAAGTGACTTTTACTCTTAGCACAGCATTGAAGGTTGCTTACTGGAAATGATGTAACATTTCTTGTTTCATTTATATCTCGTCTTGAATTACCAGCTTGAAAATAATGAAGCCTGTTCAAAAGCTCTAGAACTGATTTCGTTACAACATGAAACAATCTGTTTACCATATAACTAAGACAAAATTTGGATTTTCATGTGATTTTGGAATAATAGTAGGGTAACATTTGTGGGTTGTCCATTCAAGTTCTTTAAGCAACGGTTCTACAAATGCTTTACCTTTCAAGAATGCATTTATGGACATTTTCAAGAACATGAACAATTAAAGTCGTTATATCTCACCGCTCTTTACAAAATAGACATTCACATGCTGTATTAGACCTGAAATGACTCTGGAATCGGTCTTCTATTGGAAGCAGCCGTTCAAGGTCACTGCTATATCCTTCTTTTCTCAATCGATTTATGGACATCAATAAATAAACGACAAGATAGTGATATTCTTTGCAAACAAACATTTGGTTATAATAATTATTTGAACATACAAGCAGGCACATGAGCTTAAAGAAACTAATTCCATGTACAAGAGGGTTTAGAACTGTTTAAGAAAATCATAAATGTGTTGATTGATCTCTGCTGGCCTTTCTTGGTTGATAAAGTGTGCTGCACCTTCAATCACAACAACTTCTTTCAACAATGGCACGTATTTCTGGAATCCCCCTTTGTGTATAAATTCTTTGGCCCCTGCTATATGATACGTCGGGTCTAATTCCCCAACGATGTATTTCGTTGGCACTTTCACCTGAGCCCCTGACCACGGCGCATTCAGTTCCCAGTTCCTGCAATTCTTATTTAGATATATCAATCCAAAACATTACACTGCATTTGGCTTCGAGGTATGGTAAGTATTTTTGTGAAAGCAAGTGTGTTGAGCCAACTGAACATAAAATTTTACTCTAAACTTTCTAGTTTAAAATTGTCAAAACAGTCCAACTGTCTGAACATCTTAAGTCATAAATAAGGAAAGAGGGTGTGAGAATTTTCCATTATAGCTCTGTGATTTTGGTACAGATATATAAAACTATGCATGTAGGCGGCATTGGAGACGTCTAGAGGCCAAGTACCTGCCAAAAGCACGGTAGTAATTCACTCCTCCTGAGAATCCAGTCTGCTCAAACTTTTTGGTGTAATACTCCAAATTGTCTTCTGATAACCAAGTTGGCTTATCAGCAGAACCACCGAAGCCTTTGCCTTTGGGAAAATAATATGGACCAGGAGTGCGGAATGCAAAAAAGTTCTTGAGAACTTCTTTGGTGCCAATCTGCGCAAACTCAGCTTCTCTATCCCCAGGTTCCTGAAACATTGTCAACCAATATTCCTGTCAATTTGATCATCGAAGATAAAATTCACTCGTAAAGAAAAAGCTACATCTAGTACCCGACTGGTGATTTAGAGGATTCACCTAGATCATTTTTATTCATTGAAGCTTCACAAGGCAAATAACATGTGCTTGATTTCTTGAACTTTTCTTATATTTCTATACATTTCCATGTACTGCCACGGTACTAAATTGGCTTTGATGCCGCTTTACCACGTTCAGATTCTTCTTGAAAACAAATTATCGGAACCATACTCACAGGGGATCCTAAATAAAGGGTATCGATAAACATAAAATGTAAACAAATGGGTTCACACACGATTTCTCTTCCTCGGGTTTCTGTAGATTAAGTATAACTGCTGTTGTTCACCATCATCAAATTAAGCCCTCATGAATCATTATATTGCTTAAATTGTGACTCAAATCCAAAATGATTCATGAAGAACTATCATAAACACAAAATGTGTGATGCAACTCAAGGTTCTATACTGAAAATCAATATTGTTGTCTCCCTCAGTTGCAAGAACCCACCTAGGACTCAGCCTTAAAACCAGAGAAAGCCAGTATATTCAAAAGGCTGAATTTTTCATTTCTATTAATGACATATGACGAGCAACATAGGACTTAGAAGTAGTTGTTTGTGAGCATGGAACAACTATCTCTAACATAAGTTGGGGCAGAAAATAAATATTCTATAAATTGATGTCCACTTCTCTTACAAGCAAATTCACCCTCAAAACAGAAAAATAGTCAGCGCGCTTATAAGCCCACAAGACAGACTTGCCTCTAGCAAGACTTACCACGAGCAATGTGGGCATTAGAGGCAGTTGTGCCCCTTACACGCACGCACACTAATTTGCACAATAGAATACCTGAAATCTGCAAATATAGTGATCATCCCCATAAAGACTGCGAAACATGTCCACTGGATTCATTTCAGGACTTCTCGGGAAAAAAGCAACACCCAAATTCACCAAAGCCTTCACCTTATCAGGTCTGTACAAGCACAAGTGCCAGGCTATGGAAGCACCCCAGTCATGCCCAACAACAAACACCTTATCTGTATCAGGCTCAATGACATCAAGGAGCGCAATCAGGTCACCAACCATGTGAAGAATAGTGAATTTTGATGGGTCCTCAACTGGTGCACCAGTAGTTTCACCATAGCCCCTCAGATTCGGCGCCACAGCTCTGTAGCCTTGAGCAGCCAGGTACAGAATTTGGTGGCGCCATGAGTACCAAAGCTCAGGGAAGCCATGTAGGAAGAGCACTAATGGGCCCTGACCAAGCTCGGCTACGTGAATGTTCTGGCCATTAGCAGGTATGATCTTGTGCTCTATTTTCTCCATATTGTGTTTCTCTTTCTCTTTGTTTGAGAGTATAAATGAATTTTGAAGGGCGACAAGACTGCCAGAATTGGTAGTGACCTCCGAATCCGGTGGATTCAGCACGTCAACATAATCTCAGCTCTACACTTGGACCCAAGCGGAAAGACGTAGGCAGGCACCTCCCCGAATAGAAAGGTATGCATTTCGACACTCAAAGTAATATGGGAGATTTTTATAAATGGTCTACTACTATTCATTTTTGGTAAAATGTCTATAATACCCTTAATGAAATAATTTATTATATATTGCACAAGATATCCTTAATTTATTGGGATAGTCTTAAATTCCTCTATTTCTCTCATTTCGAGTTTTAATATATAATTTCATCCTTTGATCTAATAAATTAGCATAATCTGTAATATAATTATCATGTAATTTACTAAGATTATCAAATTCCTTCGATAATATATCCATAATCTCTAATTGAGAATAAATATTTTCTATTTTTTCCATTAATCTATCTAACAGATTATCTAATCCTTTAATTGTATAACCTGGCATTATTCAAATAATTCCTTGCAAACTTTATGAATAATAACATATTTAGATAAGTTTTTTGCAAACATGAACAATAATAATCCCTACAATTCTTTCAAGATATTAGAAGAATTCTTTCTAAATTTAACAAAGACAATAATTTTACCTTACTTTTGATCTTAAATCTGTATTCTTAGAACCGAGTGACCTTCAGGCTCTGAATCTGCAAACTGCTCCCTTAAACGGCCTCTTGCCTCAATGAGAATTCTGCTATTTCAGCTTCTTGCCCTCACTGTATCTTTTCTTAGAATTAAGAATAAAGATCTTAAGTAAAGAAAATTCTCTCTTTGTTAAAGTAAGAAAGAGATTATCTTCTTCAATCTATCAAGAAT